GTTGTTGTGATTAGCCGGAAAGGCTTAACCACTAGTTGCTCCGCCTCTCTCCTCCACTTTCCGTCGCCGGAGAATCTCATTTTTAATCTGAAAGAATGGTTGAGAAGTTGAGAAAACATAAAGCAATTTATATGTTTTTATTTTTGTATAGAAATTGAAGGTTTATGTTTGAAGGAAAGACGACGGAGTGGGTGCCATGTCCATAGTTTCAAGTTAGGTTTGATGAAAAAGAATCAATTCATATAAAATAACAAATTTAAATACGTTTTAGTATATATTATATAGCATGATCACATACGCATAATAAGAGATTACTTGATTATTAAAACAGAATAGAAATCATTGCCTTTATTCTTTCCAATTAATAAGTTTCTCTTGTCTAACACAAAATTGTCAACTACAAGAACACATTATGGAGAAACATAATTTTTAAAATCCAAAGTTTTATGTATGATCATTTGAGACGCAAACACAAGCTACGAAAACGACGACGTACTGGGAGTCCACGACTCTTCTCCAATAATAGAGCAGTTTTGTAACATGTCTTAATATTTTGCATTTTATTATTATCTTGATAACGATAGTGAGATAGCCGTTGGAGATTTGTATATATGAACGGCTATGATGTGATGGTTTGGTAAAATACCAAATGGACGGTCACGATCTCTCGTCTCGTCACTAAAGAAAGAAAATGAGTCTGAAACAAAAAGTAAAACTAAATCCATGTCTCTGTATCTATAAAATCAGGAAGCTTTATAGTTATTCTTCTTCTCTTTACTATCAAAAAAATCAATCAATTTCTAAACTGGTGCGGCCTCTTGTTGCTCCTGAACCGCCTGTTGCTGCTCCTGAACCGCCTTGTAGCATTTGAGGCTGCACAGAGGAACCTTAGTCTTCGAATCACGATACCTGTAAGGATTGGTGCACGATGGACCAGCGCAATTTTCTCGCGGAGGTGGATAACTGCAGATTTTTTAAAAAGAAACACTTGACATTGTTATGATACGGTTTGAAATCGTTTTATGGAACGTTAGAACACAAAACAGAACCAACGAACCAATTCTCAAAACATTTGAAGCATTCCCTATTTATAATGCTCACTAACAAGCTAGTTGTTCACATTATTCAGATCCTATAAGCTATGCCAATAAGGGACATTGTATTATAAATCAGTCTGATTAGAGTCGATCCAAACAGAGTTTGTGAGAAAGAGGAGAAGAGAGTAGCATACCCTGCTGGTTTGGGATCAAACAGGCTAGGAACTTTGTCAATCGGAAATGAAACAGTAGTTCCATTAGGACCCATTATTGTTCTGATGCAGCTTGTCGGGGCCCTCTCCTCATGTGCAGCTTTCTCCTGTGATCAATACAACGCATATGATCCAAACATTCAGCATCTCGGTATCACTTAGAAATAGCGCATCAGCAATAAGGTGGTTTATCACTGTGCATTACCTGAGCCAATTCATCGAGTCGTTTTTTAATCTTGTCGTCACGCTTCTTCCTGCTCGAATCCTGACCTAGAATTTTTCTAATGGCCTCTGCCTGTAAAAACAAAACCAAGACCATTCTCACATGATTTGCCAATATCTTAAAGCGCATAGTACGATAGATAGAGAATAACACCAACCTCGGACTCCCTTGCAGCCTTCTCGATCTGAGCTTTTCGCCTTTGAGCAGCTTCTGCCTTCTTCAGTTGCTGCTCCATTTCTGAAAGAACCTCCTTTTTCTCTATTTGCCAACATAATTAAACACAATACATTATGAAACTTTATTGCAAAAGATATATTTGTGAAACAAGCAAAAGAAAGAAAAAAACCTACTTCTCGTTGTAGGAGGTAATCCATCTGGAAATTCAATCACGGTTGATCTGCCAGATGCAGAAGCAAGGGCTCGTTGACGACTGGTCAAAGTTGATTCCCTCTTAACCTCATTAACAATCTCTTTTTCATCAGGCACCGATTCAGGTTCCTCCGCATAATCCATGTCTTCGGACGCCTTCTCAGATACAGCGTTCCTCTTACCAGAATTTTCCCCATTTGCAATCCCAGATGGCTTTGATTGCCTCCTTCCAGATTCAGTCTCTTCATTACACACAGATACATTCCTATATTTCAGTTTTTCCAAATACCGGATCTCATCATCGTTGTCGTCATCGCTATCAAAAACCCGTTTCTTTGGGGCTCGTTTGCTCTTGCGAACCGGGCCAGCTGCTTCCCCTTGCTTTCTCCTCCCTGCCATAGATCCGTCTTTCTCAGCGCTCCAAGTAACTCCCTCGAGATCAGCCTTCTTATCTATAGGGGAATCACAATCATCTGAGCTTTCCTGCCATTAAATAAAATTAATGGAAAAAATGATACATAAGTTTACAATATCTAAACTGTCAAGAGACCACCACAGAAATTAAGACACAATCTAATCCTTTACATTAGAGTAACAAAGTGAAATGGATAAGAACTTTTTTCTAATTGATGTCCATAAACAGTAAAGCATTTACTAGTTTGAGTCCAATCGCGGTGAAGAGGCTAATTTAACCGAACTCAGATCTCCGAGACACCGAGGAGATTATGGGCCGTAAGGCCCGAAAAGAGCATAGCATTTACTAGTCGAAGATACTCGATACAAAAGGAAGATAAAGTACTATAAATCTCATTGATTGCAAAACAATTCAACAGCTTGAGCTTATGTCAATATGATCAAACTAAAATAATTCACCTGCAAATTGTTGTTTGCGCGCGAAATATCATTCACTGGTTTTGAAGACTTTTTAGATGAACCATTAGCATGAACCAGCCGACTCACACCACCGATCTTAAGCTTCATTTTCTTCGTTTCTCCCTCTAACTCACCCAAATCAGTTCCTTTCCCATTGATCATATCATTACCTTCCTCTTCCCGGCCCGTGTTTTTCCAGCTGGCAGGTGCAAGTACACCTTCAGTCGAACGTTTGTTTCGACTGATGATCTCTCTACGACGAGAATCATTGTTTACTCTTTCGGATTCTTCTATAGATTCAGCCCTAGATATACATTGACTAAGACTAAACTCTTTCCTTCTAGGGTTCGTATCAAATGCCGGTATATCATCATTCGAAATCTTACTGAAACCATCTGAAGTTGCTAAAAGATTCGATCCTTCAGGTCGAGGACGACGACAAGTCAAGCTACGTTTCTTCCTCACAGTATTCTTCATTCCATTATCTTCCATTGTAGAGAGGCATATACACACACTCTTTTCCCCCCTCTTAACAGTTTACTTAACTTCAACGATTAGCTGATGAACTGAGAAATCCCCAAAGCTGAATTACTGAGAAACATAATTAAGACCCATTAAAGCATATAGAAGGATCACCATCATAAAACCCAGATCAATCAAAACATGTGATCAATTGAATATAGAGATAAATTACAAAACTTTCGTACGATCTCTCGCGGATACGAATTGAAACTAGCAACAAGCGATCGAATCGAAAAGCCCACATCAAGTATCAACACGGAAAACACACAAATTTTATAAACAATACGATCATCACAAGAAACCATCAAAAATCAAATCTCGAGAGAGAGACAACGAAGCATACCTAGATCGTTCAGCAGTGACGGAGACGACGAATTGG